AGGCACCTGCTGAAAAGCATGTTGATGTTGATGAGCCACTTCTATCCAGCAGGTCACAAACAGACCTCTCTCCACGCAGGAATGGTTTTTATGGGAGTCCTCCTCCCAAACCTTACGTGCCCCTTTCTCCTGCTGTTGGCTTCTCACCTGCATCTCCAAAATCACAGAGAAAGTTTGCCAGGAAACACATGTCAATACCAAAGCAAAAGAAAAAGGAAAACTCAGTCCCTTCTGATGAAATACAAGTCCAGAAAGCCAACGAGATGGATACTGCACCAGGAAATGAGGATGCAATTTCTCCAGCAGAGCTTCCCCACACTGAGTTAAACAAGCACACAAATGCCCCACTGTTGCCATCGCTGGCCATCAGAGCTCAGGATGCTACAGCTCAGGGGAACAAGGAGGGTGATGTCATTGTTTTATCTTCTGATGATGAAATGGAGTTGCAGCAAGACAGGGAGTCCCCAGAGTCAGGCTCTGCTCCGGAGGAAGGGGAGATCCCTCAGCAACTGGAATGTACAAGCAGGGAACAAGATCCTGAGATATCAAACCCTGAACATAACCCCTCAGTCACTGAAACAGAGCAGAGGTCAGCCCAGGTCTCCTGTGGCGTTACAGGTACAGTGCATGTAAGGAATGATTTAAAGGTGTCCACCCAGTTGCCTCTCAGCAGACAAACAGAGGCTTGGATGGAGAGCAGACAGAGTCCAAACCTGAGCACTGATAAACGGCTCAGTCACGAAATGTCCTCAGGTACAGACTGCTCCTGGCTGGTCCAAGACACCCCACTTCTGAGCAGAAGCAGAAGTTCCTCAACACAGACTCGGGTCACAAGTATTAATTCTGTAAAGAGTCCAGGATCTGAACGCAGTACAAAGAACTTAGCAGCAGGTAGCAGGAACCATGAAATGTCTGGAAACTTGATAAAAATTCATGAAACAACATTGCCAGACAAACATTTGCCTGTGGAGAACGGAGTCAGTGAGAGGAGCCCTTCCAGAAACAACTCCCCACCCATTTCTCCAGTGGATCCAGTTCTCCTCTCCCCTGGCCACACCAACATAAAAAGCCAATGTGCCAATATCTCCTTTTTATCCAAACCTGACCCTCTGTGCCACGAGCAGTCTCTGGAAGATAAACCAGATAGCAGCGTGGTCGAGGTGGAGGACAGTGAGAAGGAGACAAGCTTGGCCTCGGTGAGCAGCAGCGTGGTGCTCTGCGAGGAGCCCCAGCTCCCCCTGGATGGCTGCTGGCACACTGAGTACCTGTCCCCAGCCAGAGGTAACAGCCGTGGAGACACCAGCACTGCCAGCACCCCCAGGCCTGGCTCTTGGCACGAGCACTGGGAGAGCCCAGTCCACGCCCAGGGGATCATGGGCAGCACCCCGCTCCGAGGGGGTCCTGGTGGCAGAAGAACATCTCTGCTCTGTCTTGAGAAGAGTCCTATCGAGGCGTGTGCGTCAGTGGGCAGTAGACCGAGTTACCTGAACTCCAAAATCTGGGATGACTGGAATGGAGAAGAGGAAGATGTATTTCCAGAGGTACTTCCTATGGCTGAGAGGTTGACAGCTGCAGCAGGTGCCTGTCGGGCAGATCCTGTAAAGACTCCTGGTGAGAGCTTGTATTGGTACTGGATTTATTGGACTAGGCTAAATTGTTTTCATTTCTAGTGGTCATCTCATCTGTAGTTTTCTTGATACCTTAGAAGGGTCTTCTTTTGGCCTTCTGATCTGAAGTAGTTGTCAGTGCCAGGCACAAAGAGGGTGCAGTCATCCTCTGCTGTGGGAGAGAGCAGACAGAAACATGGGATTCTTGGAGCATGGCTGCTTGTATTTTGTTCACACTGGTTCTTTCACAGAACCCCAGCACGGTGGGGTTGGAAGGGACCTCTGGGGATCATCTCCTCCAACCCCCCCTGCTCCAGCAGCTCACCCACAGCAGGGTGCCCAGGATGGCATCCAGGCAGGTCTGGAATCTCTCCAGAGAAGGAGACTCCACAACCTCTCTGGGCAGCTGCTCCACCCTCACAGCCAAGACGTTTCTCCTCCTGTTCAGATGGAACCTCCTGGGTTCCAGTTTGTGCCTGTTGCCCTTTGTCTTGTCACTGGGCACCACTAAATTGTGTCTGGCCCTACCCCAACGTGTCCCCTTTGATGGTGATGGCTTCCTTGCAGAAGCTACAAGTACCTGGAGGTAGAAAACCAAACCAAACCAGGACAAAACCCAGCTTGCATGCCAGTGGGTGTTTGCTCCCTGTCGTGGCAGGTGCTCTGCACAGTCCTGCTTTCCACACTCCTGAAGCAGCACTCTGCTAACGTACAGGAGGACATCAGGGAGCAGTGCAGGCACAGAGGGTCTCCTGGTCTGTGGGGGCTTATTAAATTTATTACCACTGATGCCATACTAAGTGACCAGTTTATCAGGTGTTTAGGACATGATATGTAAGACTGACTGTGCTTCACAGGGTTAGTAAATCCATAGCTAACTCAGGACCCCAGAAGCTTGACTTGCTCAGTGTCTTCTGCATCAAGTCCCTGTTATGAAATTTCCTTCCTGGGAGAAGAGCCACTTTGCAGAACTCAGTAAACATGGGTTTTTTTAACTGCCTTGTAAACGCTGCCTGTTCCAACAAAAGTCCTGAGTGGGCTTCGTATTCAGACGTGACTTATGTCTTAATTTAAGCTGTTTACTGATTTAAAGCCAGTAAAGACCAAGTATCTCAGTTTAGGAGAAAAAAAAAAGTGTTGACTGTTCTGTCCAATATGCAGCTGAGTAATGATTAAAAGAGCTTTTAGGGAAGTAATGCTACTTAATTATTATATAACATGAGAATATCTGCCACTAAAAAGCCATTTAAGTCCTTCCTATACTAATTCTGATCATGGTAATTTCCTTCTGCTGCAGAACCTTCCTGCCAGGAGAGCGACGAGGCTCCCAGCACTCCAATGACACCAATGCCACATTACTCCATGATGGAGACACCACAGCTGAAGAAGGAGTTGAGGAGGTGAGCATTACCTCTGCAAGCACAGCTCCTTGTGAGCAGAAACCTCCTGGCAGGTAGCTTGAAAGAAAACTCCTGGGCTGGAAGTGAAACCCTGGTGAAGCTCCAGAGGTCATGTCACACTTTGTCCAGCTGACCACTGGAATCCCTGGCCCGAGGCTCTTCCTGAGCTGTGACAGTAGAAGGTGCAGCATTACCTTACCCAAAGCTCCCACCTTCTCTTTCAGGTTTGGAGTTCGTGCTCTCCCAAAGCGCCAGATGGTGTTGAAGCTGAAGGAGATATTCCAGTACACTCACCAGGACGTGGACTCGGACTTCGAGGATGAAATCCCATCGTCCCAGCCTCCCCCCAAGAGGTCCCCAGCCAAAAGCTCCAGGCAGTCAAAGGCAGGAGACACTGCCAGCACCTCCAGGGCTGCAGGCAGGAGGAAGAAGGTTGCTACTGCTCCTGCAGTGCTCCCTGTGGGGAGGGCAGAGAGCGACCTTGCTGGATCCTGTGAAGCAGGCTCTGCAGCACCCAAGGAGGGAATTAAAACAACATATCACCCAGAAGGAGCCAAAGAGCAGAAACAGTCATCTGAACTTGCAGAGAGATGGTCTCTGGCAGCTGATGATGAGGAGCCAGTGCTCCCAGCATCTCAGCAGTCTGCAGGCTCTTCATCAGACGGAAGCGACATTTCTTTTGATTCAGAGAGGTAAGACAACAAAATGTAAAACAAAACCATCAGTGGCACAGGCTTTGTTTAGTCTGAATTCCCAGTGAGCCATCCTCAGAACACAGAAGTTGTGGCTGCATGGTGTGCAAGGCCCAACTCTGGCATGTGTGATCTCTGCAGGTCAGAGCAACAAGGAGCACTCGGTGTTGGCCAGGAGCCTGCAGCCTGGGCAGGGAGAGGGTGGCTCAGCACAGCTGGGCAGCATGGCAGCAGTGGGTGCTGTGGGCCAGGAGCAAGGAATGCCAGGCAGCTCCAGGGCTGGGTGAGCAGGACCAGTGCTGTTGCAGCTGGTGATGGGGAGGTTTGAAGGACATGTGCCATGTTCTGCTTCACTCGTTTTATGGGTGCCAGTATTGGAGAATCTGCAGTCCCATAGAGGGTAGTCACAGGGGTTGGTCACCAGGGGCCTGGGGAGCTCTGGTCCTGTCCTTGGTGGCTTCTTCTCTCCTTGATCTCTGGTCTGCTTGATCTTGCTTTTAGTTCTTTCATGAAAGGATTTGAAGCCTGTGCTTTTGAATCCGAGGAGGAGGAGGAGGAAGAGGAGCTTCCAGCCTCTCAGGCAGCAGCTCGGGAAGAAGATAAGCTGGAGGCAGTAAGGTGCTACATCCGTTCAAACACTGCCCTGTACCACAGGGTTCTCTTCTATGAGCCAATTGAGCTGGCTGACCTGCACACTGAGCTGAAACAGAACGGCATTAAAATCTCCAAGGCAAAGCTGCTGGACTTTTTAGATGCTCACTGCATCACATGTACCACGGCCAGAGCCCGGAAAGAGAGGGAACAGAAAAGAAAGGGAAAGAAAAACCAGAGGAGGCGATACTGAGTGGAGCCCACTGCTCCCTCCTGACCACGCTGTGCCTGGAGGCCTTGCTGCTGAGCTGCAGCCCCGTCCCAGGGTGGTGCTGGCAGCCGTGCTGCGATGGGTGGGTGAGCTGCTCCTCCTTGTGGCCTGCCGTCCAGATGACATGCTGGAGAGCAGGTCTGAACTGAGCTCCTGTTCCCAGCCCTGTGCTCCACATTGCACAAGCTCTTCCAGTCCCTGTCCTTCCTTCAGCACACGTGTCATCTGGAGCCTCTTTTTCCCCCTTAATTTCCCTCCTGTGCCTTTTCTTTCCATTTCTCTGATGGGTTTTAGGTCCCAAATACTTCTTCCTGTAGGTGCTTCTCAAGGCAGGTGCTTCCTCAGCATTTGCCAAGATCTTTTTTCCTGTCCTTGGGCTGTGGAACGCTTCACCCTTCAAGTCCCAGCAGTCAGTGGAATAACCCACCTGCAGGGAACCAGTCTCCTTGCCCTGTGGAGAGCACTGGGTGTTCAGACCCAGTGACTTCCCCCTCCCTGTCTTCAGATTTGCCCTGCTGCTTGCAAGGCAGGGAGCACTGTAGAAACACAAAGCTTTGCTTCTCTCCTTCCTTCCGTTTGCAATCTTGGTGAAAGTCCTGAGTCTGTGTCTTGTAAATGGCTGCAGAACAGTGGAGCTGTTTCTCTAGTCTCTGTGACAGGTCCCAGAAGTGTCCCCTGACACCAGATGTCCTGTGAAAGCCCTTTGGGTTCAAACACCTTGTTGTTCACATGTGTGCCAGCTCCCTGTTTAAGGCACTGCCCACTCCCATTTTCTGAGGACTGTTCTGCCTCATCAGTGTAGCCTCAGTGTGTCCTCAACAGAGATGTTTTTAAGAAGACAATGTTACATGACCAGCCAATCTCTTCAGCACTTACAGCCTGATCTAAACCCTCTTCTCGGATCAGTCTCATTTCTGATCTTTGGTTGAAAACTGTCTGGGACTCTTGGGGAAGTCTCGGACCCTAAGTTGTCATTTTTTATGTATTTATTTTCACAACATCTTCCGACTTCAGTCTGTTCTGGCAGTTCTGAGTCTGCAGAGTCTCACTGAACAAAACAGACACAACACTTAAAAAAAAAAGAAGCCGTAATTCTAACATATTTATGGACTTGGAACATATAAATATTTTTTCTATTTTTGATACAGTGTCTCTTCAGTTTCATTTGATTTGATGGATGTTATATGCAATAAACAGTTGGTAAGGTACTCATGAGAAACTCCATGTACCATGTATTTCTCTCTCAAATACAGCCTCATACGTGGAAGAAGCTTCAGTCCTACTTACCAGTCTTAATGTGGGAAAATAAGTAAGACCCCTTCCCAGCTTTTTGCTCTGTTTATTGGTAAAGCTTATATTTACAACCAAAGATTTATAATCAATTATTTATTACATCTTCACTTTCAATGAATGCAGCATCCCAGGGAAAAAAAAATGGAATTTTAGTCACTGAAAGCATCTCCATCCTCCAGCCTTTGTCACCTGTAAGCTTTGCAGCTAGGCAGTGTTTGCCCAATGCAGAAAAATGACTTGTAGTGTCCATCCCTGCAGTCAGGCTTCAGAGGGGACCACTTGCCTTTGCTGACAAAATGTCTCCTGTAATTCTAAACCTTTTCTCAGGTGATGGGAAAAGGATTTAAAATCTTCCACAGCCTTCCAACCACAAGGACACATCCGACATACGCTGCAGATTATCTGAAAGCAATTATTCACTCTCCTGCTTCATTAGCCCATCAGCAAAGCCTGCCTCCCCAAACTAGCACTGCTGTTGCCATCTGTCAGTGACAGAGTGTTGCCAAACAGCTCCCTTTGTATGGATTTCTGTGTTTCCTTTGTATATATTTCTGTTTTCTTACCCTCCAATCACAAGCTCATTTATCTTGGAAAACACATTGTCATCATTTTTCATTTCCAACTGTGTAGTAGCAGCTATCAAAAATATTTCGATACTCCTGTTTGTTTTAACACTTCTAAGGCTGCAGTGAAAAAAAAAAGCAAAACAAACCCTTTTCAGCTAAGGTTTTAGCTGCTTTTTAAGTTACAGAAAGGAGCAGACTGGTTACTGGCATTGCACAAAGCTTCTGTCTCAGCACTGTGAGCTCTGAGCGAGCTGTGGGAAACTGCTTCTAAATTCGCTGTGGCAAGGGGGGGATGTGTGGGATTGGTTGTGGATGTTTCTTTGCAGCCACCACCGTGTTGGTTTGTGTACTGTCACATTTCCTGCCTGAAAAAAAGTGGCTTTAATAGGTTTAATTCTGAAAAGCTGTGCTGCAGAGGTTTATGGAATGACCTTGCAGGTGAGGAGAGAGCTGCACTTCTGTCTACACTGCCTCCAGAAGCCCCCCTGGTCTTAATGGCTTGAGTGGGTGTGAGGCAGCACCACAGTCCCTGCCAAGACCCACAGAGGGGCCAGTTTGACTACAAAACATGAGCATGCTGTAAAAAGCAGAGTGGGAAGTGCTGTGCCCTCCCCTGCTCCTGGGCCACAGAGCCCAGGTATTGTCCTTACAGTGCCAGCATTCGGATATCGAAGGAGTAAATCCAAGAGCCATCCTCCCTCCAAGGGAGCTGTTCTGGAAGCACATTTCAAATGGGTTTGTTTGCTTTTCACATCATTCCAGCATAAAGTTCATTGCAGAGGCATTGCATGTAAGGTGTTTAATGAAACACAGTGTGCCCGGCAGAGGTGCCGCAGCCTCCAGCGAAGACCCGGCTGCGATTCAGCTGTCCCCCAGGGAGGGGTTGGGAGGTACCTGCAGGATTCCTCTGCCCGGGCCCCTCGCCTCCCCAGCTGCTCCGCTGCCCAGGCAGTCACCTTAGGAGTTCTCACGAAGGATTTACTGGAGCCCGCGCTCAGCAGGAGCCCACCCCTCTG